TAGTACCCCAATGCTTAGCTTGTTGCTGAATAGGAACGTCAATTCAGCTAAGGTAGTCTAACCACCTATAAACAATTGATTCCTGCTTATTTTCAACCTCACAACCAACTTTAGGAACTTTCTTGCGATTTTTCTCGTAGAGCTGCAGATTGTGTTTGGGGCTCTACAGAAGCTACGAATGGTAATGAAGATACAGAAATAGCCGAGAATCAATGGACAGTTGGACATGGCCCTTTGAATCAGGAGAAGTTCTATTCGCTTACAGGTCTTAATGACATGCCAGGTGGGATACTCAAATTAACCTTTCTTGTGTTTTATTAGAAATGTGATAAGATCTCTTCGTAATCATTGTTCAATTCTTTGATTCTCGATACTGTATAGCGCCGAATCGTCCTTTAGATGGTGAATTTGCGGTAGCACGAATGGAGACCGGAGGTTCTACAATGCTGTTGTCTGAAGTTATTCGCTGCGTTCTCGACGAAGTCAGCATTCAATTCAAGCTTTGGCTCACTGGAACTGCTAAACTGCAAGTAATGCTCAGCTACTGCATTCATAGCTCCTTTGGCGATACTCGCGATCCTAGGTGTGTCTCGTTGATGAATCGACGCCATCGTTGCTAGACTGTCAACCTGCTACAGCAGGTCCTGTGGTGGTGGATCTTCCTAGAATTGAAAGGCCGTTCCGAATTGCACTACGAGCAGAATCACCTGATCAGGGAATGGTAATCGTTGACGACATCAAAGTTCAGGTTAGTGCTGCTTCAGCTATTGGCTTGGAACGAGCTTCTTAGCATAGTATACAGAAATGGATGAGAGAACAAAAAAAAAACACGGACTTCTTCGCGCTTTTACGCTTTGAAAGGAATTTGTACCAGGAGATTTGACATCATGACTAAACTTAAGTGGCCTTCGTTAAACAAATTTTGTCGACCATCATCGTTTCCCATTCGCGTAAATGACTTTAGACAGTAATTGCTGTAAGCAACAGTATACTCTGATAAAAATCGCTGACATGAGTAATTATCTACAGCTATCTGCGTTCGTTGTGTCTTCTATTCTATGAAATAGCAAGAAAAAATTTCATGGCAATTCGAAAGTTGCAGATTTTGAGTCGAATTTCTTCATCACGACAACTGGGGAATAATCTAAATCTTAAACAAGGATAACATTAGTTTTTATTTATAAGATGCTAGCTTTATCTTCTTTTTTATGAAAATCATTTAATTGATACGCATTACTCAATATTCATGTCAATCTCAAAAAATTATGAAACAGAGTTGCTTGCGCCTTTATAACTCTTTTAAAAAGCTGAGTGAGATCATGTTTGACATTTAAGATTAATGAGACAAACGCTCTCCTTCTCTGACGTGCTAAAAAAAATCTAAATTTTTTTTCCTCGCTATTCAAACATCATAGTGCACAGAGTCTATACGGTGAATGCACAAAGGCAGTCATGCTCTAAGATACTCTGAAAACTTGCTATTAAAACTATTAAGGCTGAATTCAATTGCATACGTCCAACATTAAAGTCTTTTTCATAGGGTGAAAATTTAGACATCCCTACTAGAAACCAATATTCTAATAATATACAAATCACGAGCGCATATGCCCCCTCTAGGCTTCGCTAGCGTTAAATTGTCCGCAAAAGGTCTGGTAGATGTTGTCTTTAGAGCGTGTCCATAC